GATCTCTCCTTGCTTCCTCACAAGGCCCCGGTGGTGTGGTGTGCCCTCCCCTTTATGGACTGAATGTGTCACCCCAAAATTCGTATGCTGATGTCCTGTCCTCCGGTGTGATGGTGCTAGGAGGTGGGGCCTTTTAGAGGTGATGAGGTTTAGAGGAGCTGAAGCGGGTGGGGGTCCTCCTGATGTGATTAGTGCCCTTGTAAGAAGAGACCAGGGAGCTTGCCTGCTCCCCGCACCCCCAACCCCGAGCCATGGGGGACACAGCGAGAAGGCGCCCATCTCCAAGCCAGGGAGAGGGCTCTCACCAGGAACCGAAGCAGCTGGCACTTTGGTCTCGGACTTCCCAGCCTGCACGACTGCTCAGTGTCTGTTGTTTAAGCCGCCCAGGCTGTGGTCTTTGGTCACGGCAGCTGAGCTAAGACACCTCTCCTCTTGAGAAATGGGACTAAGAAAGTGTCTTTGCAGCAGCAACTGTCTCCTGATTAGCTTTACTGTACCTCAGATTTCCTATGAATACACTGAATTTTAAGACGGGCATTCATATATCCATCCAGGAAGATCAGCGTTTCCTTGCTTTGATGGGGCTCTACTTTAAAAGAAAAGAGATGGCACTCAGTCAAACCCATGCCCTTCCCTAAAAGAGGAGGCAGCCTGTGACTGATGGGCACTTTGTGGGTCACACCGTCCACAAGACCCCTGGCCATTAAAGTGGCTTCTGTGGCTTTCAGGATAAGCTCACCCCTTGTGGTGCCTGAAAATGGACTTTTATGGCCAGACCCAATCCTGGGGACCTTCGGTCTCGTCAGTGTGGCTCCTCCCTCTGTTCTAGGACAGCCTGAGATGTGGGGCCTGATGTCCACTGCAGAAGGGCCGACCTCACCGCCCTGGTCCCTCAGCGGTACCAAGGATCAGACGTCTCCCAGGCAGGGTCACCGACCAGGCTCTTCTGAGAGACCAACGCTGACCCAGAGCGCGTGCTCCCCCAGCCATCAGGACTCAGCCCACTTACGTCAATTAAATGCTTGACTTCGTGTTTCTTGAGGTCGCTTCCAATTTTGGCTGCTAAGAGCACACATGCCCCGGCACAAAGCTTCCGGTTCTGTTTGTTGAGCTTTCCCTTGAGGGCGAGCTTCTCAAAGTAGACAAAGGCCATGGCCACCGTGGGCTCCTCGAAGCCACAGTCCTCCTGGGCGAGCTTCCGCATCTCTCGCTTTAGGCTAGAAAGGCAGAAGGAGGGAGGAGTCCTGTTAGAACCCGGAGTCTCGGGGGGCCCCAAAGGAAAAGACTGGCCCATCCTGACAGCATCCTCTCTCATTCCCAGAAGGGCGACGTGGAATGGGATTCCGTCCCTACAGGTGAGCACATCATCCTATACGCGGCCAGCAGACTCAAGTCGCTGGGGCTTCGGACCCTTCCCGAGCTGTACAGACCATGTCGACACGGGACCAGGCTGAACCCAAGCGGATCCCTGAGGGTCTGGAAACTGGGAGCAGAAGCGTCCAAAGTGACAGTGGGAAACCAAGGTCGTTCCAGAGAGACAGTTACTGAGACAAGTAAGGCACTTGGTATCAGATCTGCTGAGCGTCCGTTACAGGCACTGACTATGGCAGAAGGGGGCTCAGGCTAAGGGCACAGCAACCAGTCTGCTTAGGAGAGCTGCCCGGCCGACGGACAAAGTGCAAACACTTAACTCTTCTCACCTCTTTGGCTCAGAGCACACCAGCATCAAATCAGTATCGGGATGTGTACATGTGTGAATGATGCTGCGTATTCCCACACTGTGTGTGTAGTCTAGCCTCCAGTACTACACCTCCCCCCCCAACACTGAAAGCCTGCTGTCTTGGCACACAGACCCCACAACCCAAGGCAGCCTCTCTCCAGCCCAGCAAGGCCAGTCCTCCTGAATCGTGGGCCGGCATATGTGGGTCGCCACTGGATCGACCCAGTCAGCCGCAGGGGAAATTCAGGCCTGATTTTGCTTTCGCTGTTTTGCTGACTGCTTCCAGATACGGCTTGGCTGTCACCTCTGGGTGGATGACTGTGGGTAAAGAGTTATCTTCCCAAACTCTGTGATGCCAACTCTTTTCTCTTGTTTTGCCTGCACTTGAGAGAGAGCAGGGAACCGAATGTTCCCTATTCTGAGCTTTCCATGATATAAATCTTACTCAAGTATAAGCCACAGGTACCTCTCCCCACCATATCCGACTGTCGGCTCATGTCAAGGGCGCCACCTCCGTCCTGGCTCCCGGGGCTCTCTCCCATCCAGGCAGCGGTCAGCCAGCATCGGATGAGCCTCTTTTTGCTGAACGTGACCATATTTCATTTCCCCAGAACAACGGAGAGACTCATTGTACAAAACATGAGCTTGGTGCTTGCCGGGAGAGGGGACTAGGGGAAAGTTCGAGTGGGTGCCCATTCTCACGTACCTCCTTATTTTGCTGAGTGTTAACTTAATGTGAGGGAACTTCTCCTTGAAGGTCTCATTCATGTCCTTCTTGAGATCCGAGGGCTTCACATAGTCGATGACAGTGGTCTGTAACAGATTGGGTGACACTGGTCACTCTTAGAATAAGGGGCATGTGTAATAATCCTGAGCAAGTTATAGCCAGCTTCCAACACCACCAGCAACAGGGAGCCTAAACCCTGCTATCAGCAGGGCCCAGCAACGTTTAGAAACCCCAGCCTCCGGACCATCAGGAGTCGGTGCCTGCAGGGAGGTGAGTCCCTCTTTCAGTGTCTGCGTTTCAGTCCGACATTCACACAGCGTGTGATCTGGACTCGCACAGATCTGGGTACAGTCTTCACCAGGCCATCACTAGTCGTCTGACTGTGGGAGGTAAACTTAATGACCCCAAATGTCAGGCTGCACGTCTGTAAAACGAGAACAGTGACAACGCCCACCTCACATGGCTATTTCAAGAAATACGTGAGAAGTGCTCTGGACGGTGCTTAGAATATAGCAAGTGCTCAATAAATGTTGGCTATTGTTTTTTGAATTTTTTTTTAAACGAGGGAAAATATACATAACGTGAAACGTACCAATTTAACTGTGTTTAAGTGTGCAGTTCAGTGGCACGAAGTACATTCACCATGTTGCACAACCATCATCGTCCATCTCCAGAACTCTTATCACCTTGCAAACCTGAAACTGCGCATTCCCTCCCCCCAGCTCAGCCTGGAAACCACCGCTCTACTTTCTGTCTCTCTGAGTTTGACTACTCCGGGCACCTTGTACAAGTGGGATCACATGGTATTTGTCCTTGTGTGTCTGGCTTATTTCACTGAACACAATGTCCTCAAGATTCATCCACGTTGCAGCATGGGTTAGGACTCCCTCCGTTTCGAAGGCTGGATATTAGTCCATTGTATGGACATCGTGTTAGCTATAATTCATAGTCCCGTGGCCCTCAAGTCTCCACGTCCTCTCCTTCCCCTTCCTAATTCCATCCATCCGTAGAGACCGGCTTCCTCGAGCCCTCTGTGTACCTGGTCTCCCGTGGTCCTCTGTGCCTCCCACTTTTAACTCTGGATTACACACATTCTGGCCGGGTCTCACCAGGTTAATCTCACCCCACCTCCTCAGGACTGTACTTTCCAAGGGCTCGACGACGCGTGATGCCTCTCCTGGCTGGTCTCAGGCGATAACCTTTGTCAGGCAAAGCCAGGGAACGAAGAAACCACCCGTCTGTGATGAGAAGGCCTGTTCCCGTAGACGGCTGGCCGCTGCCAGCCTCTTCTCAGACCAGGGCTTGGCCTGTTCCAGAAGACATGTCCAAGGTTTCCTCAACAACTCCAACAAAAGCTGGTGGTTTTCTGTGAACAGCCCCATTCTGAAGACGCTTGGTTGGACATGATTTCAGAAGAGGCACATGAATGCCTCTGGTGTCCCTTTATAACCAAGAGCAGGCTATCACCTGCATGTCAAACCCACACTGACCTTCACAGCACCTTTTCTGCTTCTCTGGTGAATAAAGGCAAACCACAGCTACCTTAACGCCCACAATTCCACCGAGCCTGTTCAGAGCATCCCCAACTTCTGGGTGGAAGTGGACTCGGCGGGTGCAATGCCACGACTTCTTCCTCAGAGCCCTGGTCCTTCCAGCCCCACCAGGAAGGCTCTTCCTCAGCTGGCCCAGGTCACGCCCGCTCTGGTAGCTGCCACGTGTACCCACGGAGTGCTGGCGAGCAGCCGGGCAGCGCCGGCGTGCAGACACGTGCAGGCACACGTGGGTGTGCAGTGCTGCTCTGCGGGGCAGAGAGGGCGGGCTGCGCAGATGTGAAGGCCACTTACTGCCGAGGTCCAGGATAGTGGACGCCTTCTCTGTGGCGGCCCTCCAGGACGCGCCTGTCGTCTCAGATGTCTCCCCTGGGTTGAACAGGATGTAAGATTTTTCCATTTGGGAAACAAGCAGCAGAACGGGGACCACGTCTAACACACTCACCTCAAGCTGGGACCCCCGGCCAATCAGCCAGTTCTTCTATTTCCTAAATTCCCCCCCCCCACCAACATTCCTGTTCTCCCAGAGACCGCCCCTTCGGTTCTTCCTCTGCAGGCAAAGGTCACAAGGCTTGCAATGACGTGAGCAGGTTCACGCAAAGAGTCTCCAGCTTTTGTTGGGGGCCAAAGCCTGAGGAGTCCCCCAGCAAGGATATTCCGGGGCTGGAGGTGGGGTCGGGGGTGCCTGGACCCCTCCCTGCGGCAACCACAGCAGCTCTGCTTTTTCCTTTCTTAAACGTGGATACACGCAACACTTCTCTTGAAAGAAGGCTCCCGCTGCCGAAAGAAAAGTTTGCAAGTGTTTTCCAACCGCCTCACCTTATAGATGAAGAAACAGAGGGTCAGAGAGGTGACAGGGCTTGGGAGCGGGGAGCACTGCTTTCCTGCTTTTCTGTTCTTAATCAGACCGAAAGAGCAGCGGTTAGGAGCAGCAGCGAGCAGCTCCGGGAGGCTGGCAGGTGGAAAGGGCTGGGTGGTGGTTGGTGGCTCTGCCTCCAGTGAGTCAGGCAACTTGGAGAAAGTGGCCTAACCTCCCTGAGCCTCACCTTCCTCTGCATGAGATAAGAATACCTGACAGGCCGCTTCATGGGTTTATCTCGAAGATCAGAGAGAACAGAATGTACAAGGACACTGGAGAATCTTACCGAGAGCTCAGCAGGGGGGGACGGCAGCAAACTGGGCTCTGCTCCAGTCCCGCTGAGTCGGCGTCTGAGGGTGGGGCCCTGCTCTTGGCCCAGGTGACTTTCATGTGCCTCAGATCCTCCTTGCCTGGCTTGCAAGGCCACTTCTGTAGGATCATCCCCTGGTGGACTCACCTAAACCCCAGGGATTCACCTTCATATAGACTACGGCATGGATATCCAGTCCCCTTCCGAGGTGCCTTGTGGTACTTCCCGACCCCTTTGCAGCTAGGATTCCCAGTACAGCCCCCAGTTCTTCCTATCTGATGCACTGGTGTCAGAGAGCAGAGTTGAAGCAGAGGCTACGCTTCTCTTGATTCTGCTACCAAGAGTCGTGGTGTCCATTCTGCGGGTGTAGACCACAACAGGGCAGCATGACTCTGGAGCCAGCAGCGGTGGCGGCTTCCTGACCATGGAGGTGGCAGTGCTGCCACATCCAGGGCTGACAGCCAGTGCAGATTCCCCTGGTGACCTGGTTCAGTATAATTTTGTAATCATTCCTGAAATCCCAACTTAGCCTCGCCAGTGATTCCATAAACTGTCTGGTGCCCTGTGTTGGATCCCTTTCTTCTTAAACTAGCGTGAGTGGATGCTGTGCTCCACAGCCGAACCGCTAACCGACGCACACGCTGTTTTCCTTGATGGCGTTTACCACTATTGCCACAGAACCTCACTGGGGGCACGTGGGATAAGGCCCTGGTCTGAGGGCGTACTTCCCACATGTCTTCTGTCCTTTTGAGCCGGCTCTCCCTCAGTCGTGCTTTCACCTCTGCTGCTCTGAGCTGCAGCTCAGTGGGGAAGATCCAGACTCTGGAGCCAAACCCCCTGTGTTTAAACCACAGTTTTGCCACTCAGTATCTGGCAAGAGACGGTTGTCCTCTTTCCAGCGATGGGGGTGAGCTGAGGAGGCAGTACTGGGTGGCTCGTTCGTTCTGGCTTGAGAGAGAATGAATTAAAAGGGAGGCCCAAGCTTTGTTCTAGCTCTCCCATCAGTCTACTTGCATGGTTTATAAAGACTCGCAAGGCCTGGGTTTTGCCAATGCATACATGTTCCTATGCACCAAAGTGCTAATAAACAACCTTTGGTCCCCTCCTGGTCTGGGACAGACTGAGTGACCACTGTTTTCAGCGCCACCAAATTCCAGGCCCCGGTTACAAGAAAAATAAAGATTTAAGAAAAACTGAGTAGTGATGCACATACCACATGGATGAACCCTGAAAACTTTATGCTAAGTAAGAGGCCAGAGGCACAAAAGACCACATAAGTGTATGATCTTCATGAAACGTCCACAACAGGCAAGTCCCCAGAGACAGAAAGTACACCAGTGGTTGCCCAGGGCTTAGAGGGCGGGAAGTGAAGGGTGTAGGAGCCTCTTTTAAGGATGATGAAAATGTCCTGAAATTGACTGTGGTGATGGTTGCACAATTCCGTGAATAACTAAAAACCACTGAATTGTACACTTTAAAGAGGTGAGCTGTACGATACATGAATTATATCCAATAAAGCTATTACCAAAACCCCTCTGCTCTCCCCCCAAAACCAAAACCCAAACCCTTAAACAGTAAACAAAACCCACCACGATGCAATAGGCACTGGATTTTTAACACTTACACCAAAAGCTGGCAGGCCTCAAAGAGCCACTGCTCAGCATTTGTGCAGGCGCCTGGCAGACATTCCAAGGAGCTAGGGAAGTTCCAGGGCCCCTTCAAGTCTCCTGAGAGGCACAGCACTGGTGTTTTTGTAATATGAATTACTTTTCTTAGAGAGGGTCCCCCACATTCAGTGAGCTCCAGGCACCTGGACACCTGAGGGCCTGGAAAGAGCCCTGCAAGGGAGGGACCCCCAGGGCTCCACCTGCTTTAGCTTCTCCGTAAATCCCCCTGCAGACAGGTTAAGTGCCTCCAGCACCCAGCTGGCTTTCAGTGAGAAGGAAATATGGCGAGAAAGCAGAGTCCAGTGCCCACAAGGCTGGATTAGTCCTCCTTTTACTGAGTCTTCTGTTTCCTCCTGCTCAGCATCTCCCACCCCGAAAAACTATGTTCTGAGGGACGTTCCCACAACCCTGGGGGGGAGGCAGAGGTGGAAGGAAGGGCTTTTCCATGAGTACTTAGATTGTAATATTTAGTAAATAAAAGATCTTAGAGATCAATCCAAGAGCCGTCCCCTGAGGTTTAGGTACCTACAGGTATCACAAAGGTGGTTCGTCAGCGTTTTTTTTTTTTTTTTTTTGACATTAAAATAGTTCCAGACAGATTTCTCCCCCAGAAGGAAAAGGAAATCCACTCAAAGAACATTAATTTTGTTGGCATTATCTCAGCTCTGTTACTTACTTTCTCCTCTTAATTGCTCTCCACACCCAGGAGGAGGGGAAACACTACCAACTTTGCTGCTAGGTTCCAGTGACAAATAACCAGTCTCCAGTGAGACGTTAATGACAAGCCAGGAGGCGCAGGGCAGGAAGCGCGGTCCCGACGAGGCCGCCCGCCCCCTCCCCGCACAGGGAAACCATCATTAAGCTGAGGACCTACGGGAGCCTGCACGTAGCCAGGAGGCGTGACACGCTTTCAGGGTGTGTGGTCACCTTCTAGAAACCTGAAGACCAAAACCACGGGGGCAGTTGCCATTTGATTTCCATACTTGCCCTAGGAATTTTTTTTTCTGGTTCAAAACCTCTCCTTGGCCCCTTCATGGTGGCTCATTTGGGGACTGACTTGCTTGGATCAAAGTTAAAAAATACGAACTGTAACTACGAACGTAAGGCCCGTTTCAAGGGGGTGCTGCTTCCACGTGGTCGTAACAGGCTTCTTTCTGAGCCTCGTCCCAACGGTAGCACCGAGTGGCCTTTTTATCTTATACCGAGAACAAACACAAGCAAAATATACACTCAGCTACATCCTGGCTGGTTAACGTCACCTCCACTGTGACTCAGAAAGCCCACTCGTAGGTATTTGCCCAAGAGAGATGGAAATGTATGTCCACAAAAGGACTTGCACACGAATGTTCCTAACACCCCGAAACCGGAAACAACGCAAATGTCCACCAACAGGAGAAAAGATAAACAAGTGAGGGTATATCCAGACAGTGCAAGCCTGCTTAGCAATTAAAAACAAAAAAACACAAAAAACGAACTACTGACACTGGCAACATGAGTGAATCTCACAGATACTAAGTTGTTTGAAAAATGACGGATTAAAAAAAAAGGCACATAGTCTATGGTTCTGTTTATACGAAGGTCCAGAAGAGGCAAAACCAATCTTTGGTGACAGTTTTCTGGGAGCCCGGGAGAGGGGCGCCAGAGGGGGGCTGCACAGGCTTCTGCCAGGGCTGACATCTGCCTACAGGGGTGCCCTGCCCACGACGATGAGGGTTCACCGAGCAGCAGGAAGGCTCCAAGCGGGATCTGTCTGGGGGGAGCGACTCCCACCCACCCACAGGCCAAGATGTGCCCCATTCGCTGAAAGAGGGCCTTGGACGGCGGTCTACAGCTCCCTCTGTCCACCTTGGTAGCCGGCACCTATTAACAAGTGCAGCGCCCTGGGCACGGGGCCAGGTTAGCGGAGAGAGTGCCAAGATCATCGTTCCATGGACTGCCCCACCTGTGTATGCATGTGTGCGTGTGTGTTTAAAGGGCAGGGACTGTCACTCTTATAAATACCCGTTTTACACAAAGTCAACCTCTTGCACACTCATGCACGTGGGTGTTCCTCCCAAGGCCTGGCAGGACTGCTCCTTCTCACCCCTCGGCATTCACTTTTGATGCCATTTCCTCAGGGGAGCCTTCCTTGAGACCTGCCTCCAGCCTCCACCCTTCCCTGGCAGGTCCACCACTTTCCTAGGAGGCTCCTTCCTCAGCCTCCACACCGGAGTGACTTGTCTGCTGTTCGGTCTCTGACTTCTCCGCTCACTGTAAGGTTGAGGAGAATGGGGGTTGTGGCTGATTTGTCCTCCAACATATAAGGAAGCACCTGGCCTGGCACATAGTAGGGCCTCAGTCAACACTGGCTGGATGACAAATCCTATACCTGTTACCAACACACAAAATAAAGCAAACAAACCAAAACCCCAACTCTTACTCCCAAAGTTCAATGCAAAAATGCACATGAAACAGCCCT